GAGGCAAGTCATCTGCATCGTGACTTTCTCTGTGCCTCAATTCTCTCCTCTGTAGAATGGGTTAATAGTCCAAGGCGAAGTGACACTCAGACTCCTCAGCCCTTGGCCTGGCTCCTATTGTCAATTACAAGCCCCTCAGCTCTTCATCTCAGTCATTTGTAGCTGGAAAACTGACCCAGGTGTCCTCAGTCCCAAAGAACGCAGCAGTGGTTCTGGCCCTCTTGTCCTCAAGTTCCACTTCCCTTTTTCCTCTCTCATTTCTGGCCGAAGGGTCACTTCCTGAAAGCTTTGGTGTGAGCCTGTCCTTCCTCCCTGTTACCCCTCAGCCAGTGGTATTTGGGGTCCTGCTCCCACCAGCCACCTAAAGGCTCTCTGCACCACCAGATCGGGTCCATTATTCTGCTCTCATCCAATTCAAGTCCTCACAGCACTAGGTGCATTGCCCCAAATGCCAACCTCCAACTCTTGGCTTCTGAGACACTATGCCTGTCTTTTTCTCTTTTCTGTCTGAGGCCCACAAATACCTACTTAGCACTCTCCTGTGCTAGGCTCTGATGCAGGTAGCAATGATCAAAGGGACAAAAACTCCTGCCTTCATGGAGCTGATGGTTTCCCAATCTGTCTCTCTCAATCGGTGACTTATTTCCAGCTCCCTGGAATGTGTGACCCAATTTTCCACCCTTGCCCTGTCTTCTGCCCTCACCTAGGGCAATCTCACCCACACCCACAAATTTCACAGTGTGCCTTAGGCTCTGGGCTCTGTCTCTGGCCACCACTTCTCTCCTGTAGCCAGACCCAGGTAGACCACTTCTTGGCAATGGCCTCTGGTTGCCCCTGGGCCCTAACCGCCGTCTCCAAGCCCCCGATTCCCCTTCTGTCTGGCATCCAACCAATCAATCGCTAATTCTTGCCCACTATGTCTCAATGTTACCCTTCCCTCTCAGACTATGTCATCTTGCACCTGACTTAAATGTCCTCCCCCTGGGTCCTCCTGTCCATTCTTAGCTGCACCAACGTTCTCTCCAGTGGGCAGCCAGAGCGATCTTTTTCAGTGCAAAAGAGAACATTTCCTGTCTTCTGCCTAAGATCAGGGCCCACTGTGTTTAGAATAAAATCCTAATGCCTATGAGGCCCTGCAGGACCCAGCCCTGCTAACCACCCTCTTTTACTACCTTACCCCTCCTTGGGGCTCACTGCACCTCAGTCATAATGGCCTCCTCTCAGACCATGACCCTGCCAACCTCCTAGCCCCCCACAGGCTTTTTAATATACATATATATGTGTGTGTGTGTGTGTGTGTGTGTGTATATATATATATATATATATATATATATATATATACACACATATACATATACATATATATACATGTACACACGCACACACACAGACACATATATATATATATATATATATATATATATATTCTTGATTAGGGAGGGGAAGAGAAAGAAACATCCATGAGAGAAACATCCATCGGCTGTTTCTGCAAGCCCCATACTGGGGATCGAGCATACACCCTGACCAGGAATTGAACCAGTGACCTCTGGGTGCCTGGGACATGCTCAACCAACTAAGCCACACCGGCCAGGGCCCCCATAGACTTTTGAACATCCATCACCTTGGAACACCTTCCCACTATTGACCACTGCCAATGTTGCACTCAGGCCTCAGCTCAAATGTTTCCTTCTCAGAGATCTTTCTCATTCCTCAATATAAACACTAGCCACACCTTGTTCTTTCTCATAATATCCAGTGATTCTCTTTTCCCTGCTGAGCGCTTATCACAATTCATTTGTCTACTTGTTTACTCAGCACAGGCCTCCAGCGCTTTTCCCTCACTACAGATCCCCTTCTCTGGGCTAATTAGATGCACCTCTTCCAGGAACCTTCACTGACACCCCCAGGCTGGGTCACATGCCTCACCTGGGCTACCACAACACCTCCATCCCAGCCATAATCACTCTGATGGTGCTTCCCCTCCCTGGCTCTAACCCGTCTGCCTGTGCTGCTTCTTTCATCAGAATGTCCATCACTCAAGCCTGCTGCTGTCTTCTGCTCTGTACTGATAGCTCCATGAGGGCAGGAACCTGTTGGGCACCACTGTATCTCCAGCATCACCTACCACAGGACCAGCTAGGCACCTTATTGATGTTTGAAGGGAGGAATGGGCACATCACACTGTCTCCCTCAACACATCCTGATTATTCCCTTTATGGCTCTAATTACTCCCCAAATTATCAGGCTGCCTTGTTTTTTCTGAGTTTAGTGGCTGTCTTCCCACCAAACTCAGAAACAAACAAGAGTTAACAATGACCGGTGCTTTGCTGGTCGCTACCAGGTACCCACATTCCAGCCCAGGGCTGGGCACAGGGGAGCTGAGGCAGGATATGTTGAATGAATAGATGAGATGCACGCACATTCACGGAGATTAGACATACAAATTCGCAAAGATGGAAAAAAAGAGGTTAACAGCCAAATAAACACAGGTTCAAATCTTAAATAAGGGATAACCATGGCCCTCCTCGCTCATGGAGGGCTACGAACCCTGTCCTAGGGCATAGGCGACAGCCCGAGGCTACGAAGGGGTAAGGGGTAGGATGATTGCTTACGGCAAAATCAATGAAAGTCGCGCTTTTCTGCTCATTATACAGTATCCTGCCCAAAGTTGTTTTCTTTCAAAATAATATCCTAAGGGGAAAAAAATCGACCCCAAAGCGCCCCTACCCGGAGCTGGCATCCTGGTGCGGTGCACACCTCGAAGCTCCAGATCCCTGACTTCCTGACCTCCGACCTGCAGCGACCTCGCCAACCGCCGCGGCGGCCCCGCCACACCCCGCCCGCCTCATCACCTCGGCGGGCCACGTACGCCACTTACGCTGCCGGGGAGTCCCCGCCGCGGAGCCAGCTGGATGCATCCTTCGTTGCTACCGCCGCCGCCCCAGCCACGGTTCGAAATGTGCCCGCCCGGCTTCCGTAGCCACGTCCCACCGGCGACGCGACAGCCAATGGGCGTTACGATCGTTCAGAGGCCACGCCCTCTCGTGGAAGCCTGGCCGCGTTCGCTGTGGGTAAGAGGGCAGGGCTGGAGGCCCGTGACGTAAGCCGAGAGTCCAGACCGGGGCGGCAGGAAGGCGGGGCAGGGAGCGATTTTAGGAGTAGACGGTGTCGTGCATGATGGGAAACGTAGGTGTCGAGCGAAGAGGCGGATGGGAAATGGAGTTCTCCCTGGAGAGACGCTCAATTTGGGTCGCTGAGAGCACGCGGGAACCAGGGAAGGGTGTGGAGCAGGGAAGAAGTCCATTTGTATTTCCGAGGGGCTAAGCGGAGTGGTGCGGGCTCTGCCCTTTACAGTTTGGGCAGATCTTAGGTGTTAAAGTGAATGTTTAGAGTGAGAAAAGAATACTCAGCAAGTTAGGGGGTAAGAACCAAGATGTCTGTAGGAATATCTCTTTACATATTTCCCCAGAAAATGATAAAAAATGCTTTGGGTTGTGACCTGGTTTTCCCAGTTCTCCCAAAACACTTTACATCCCCCAGCAACTCACAGCACACCCAGCACACCTGCAAGTGAGAAGCCGGGAGAATTAAGCTTCTTTAGTCTCTCCTCTCTTTGTCTTTCAGTACTCCATGGATCTCACTCGGTCTCCCCCTTTCTCTCCCCTCAGCCTCCCATTTTCTGTCCCACACTTTCCTCCACTATCTCAGGCAAAGATAACTGCGTGACTTCTGGGCAATGACAGCACTCCGGAAGGCTGTCAGCAAGTGACTCTATCACTGTGGCTTTCCCTTTCCTCCCGAGGCATTGCCTTTTCTGGGGACCTTGAGGACTGTTCTAGTCTCTCAGTTATGAGTCCTGGCTTAGTCGCGGGCTTTCTTCGTGAGTTGTCCTCATTCCTCTTCTGAACCTCTGGTTTAGCATCTGTCCTTCAGGCTCCATCACTATTTTTTCATCTTCTGAATACTTTTATTACTAAGCAAGTATTTTAGCTTTGTGTTGCCTCATGTTCACATGGTCACACCTTACCAGTTTTGTGACTACTCAATTGTTAAGCCTAAAATTTCTCATCTGTTTAATGACTAATAGAGGAATAATAGAGGAGGGGTTGAGATACAAGCTCATGTGTCCATAGGGCCTTTGATCACTGGCCCCTACTGTTGCTGTTGTATTATCAGGTGTCTCTTCCTGTGAGTTCTAAGCCCCAAGTTGGGCTCTTTCCCAAGAGCTGCCACAGTTTTATAAATAGAACCATCTGGGTGTGTCTGAACTGGTCCCGGAGCCCCACTCCTTTGCCAGTCAGATGTGGTCAGGAGTCGGGGCTGCCCTCCGGAAGGCAGTCAGAGAGGGGGGTGTGGAGAGGGAGCAGGGAAGCGGGGAAGCAGAGGGAGCAGGGAAGGAAAGATTCCCCCCCTTCAGTGAAGGTGTGGATCTGTGATTCTGCCTGGAAAAGAGACCCTGGCTCTTTCCCGTTCATCCTTCCTCTCTCACTTCAGTTATTTCCTTTCTCCAGAAGCTCTTGATTTCTCAAAAGCGGCGGTAGTTGCCTCCTCTGGGCATCCTCCATCCCAGCCCTGGTCACTGCCGTGCTGCTTTCTGGGCTGTCACTCTGAAGTGCTGGGAGCCCCCTGAAGGCAGGTTCCAGAACTGTCTTGGTCACTCAGCAAAGGGTCGGGCACAAAGTGGGCACTGAGCAAAGATCTGGTGAAGAGCTAAATATCCCGATTCTGTCCGTAAGGGCACGAGGACCCCTGACCCTTTGGTGTCCGTTGTGATTTAGACAGGCCTCCCCACCGGTGGACGCAACTCCACTCCAGAGCGCACGACTTGGCGAATGGGATGAGGGCTGGATGCCAACTTGTCCCCTGGTCCCCTCAGCCATGCACCCTGATGAAAAGCACAATCTTGTAGCCCAGCAAGATGGCCCGGAGGAGTTGGGGCGCGACTTCTCGGTCCTTGAGCAGAAAGGAGAGTTCGGACTCTTTCTAAACAAAGGAATCAAGACGCCTGGGACGCAGAGAGGGAAAGGCAGAATGCCCCACTCTTTCCATCCGGTTAGTCTCCTGGGTCCCGGAGTGCTGAGCTCCACCCTCCCGGTGTTAACACCTGGCGGTGGGGCGTGCCTCAGTTTCCCGGAGGCGGGGCGCTTCTCCTCCCTCTCCTGCCCCTCCCCTCCCCTCCCCTTTCTTCTCGGGTTCCTCTTCGGGGAGCTGAAGGCCGTGCTTCGAGCTCCCGGAACTAAAGCTGAGCGCCCGGCCATCTACAGGCGGGGGCCACGTCAGCGGGGCGGCGGGGCTCGGTGGGAGCCGGGGAGCGCCATGCGGCGGGGCGCGCTCCTGGCGGGCGCCCTGGCCGCTTACGCCGTGTACCTAGGGCTGGGCGCGCTGCTGGTGGCGCGACTGGAGGGGCCGCACGAGGCTCGGCTCCGCGCGGAGCTGGAGATGCTGCGGGAGCAGCTGCTGCGGCGCAGCCCGTGTTTGGCCGCCCCCGCTCTGGACGCCTTCGTGGAGCGAGTGCTGGCAGCCGGCCGGCTGGGACGCGCAGCGCTCGCCAACGCTTCGGGGCCCGCCAACGCCTCGGACCCCGCCTGGGACTTTGCCTCAGCTCTCTTCTTTGCCAGCACACTGGTCACCACCGTGGGTAGGTGAGCGCCGCCCCAGTCCCTAAACTAGCGAGAACCCACCCCCAGGGGCACTCGGGAGCCCTCAGGAGGTAACCTTGTCCCAGCAGATCACTCCAGTCCGTTTTGGGCCTGGGATCCCCTCAAAACCCCTGGAGGAAAATCCGGGATCCACAGTCGTGGGATCTGCCTCCCTCGGGAAGCCCCCAGCCAAGCCTCTCCTCCCCGCAGAAAAACACTCAGTTCTCCAGGACGAGGGCTGTACTCAGTACCTGCCAGGGAGCATCTGGGACATTCTTCCTCTCCCTCACCCCTTGGAGACATGGCCCTTCCAGGCCCCTCTGGGCCTGGACTGCACTCAGAAACCTCCAGCGAGGACCTGGGACCCTGGGCCTGAGACCCTCACCCTCTCTGGACTCGGACCTCAGCCACCCAAGACTCTGGTCTCAGAATACCACCCCCTCAAACAGTGTCTCCTGACTGACCAGATAGATCTTTCCTGGAAGCCTTTCGGGAAGCCCTATCCCAACCTCCTCCTGACTCTGGGTCCTAGAGAGAACCCCGAATCTCCAGACCCCCTCAGGGTGCCATCACTAAAGACCTTACTGCCAGTAGAGATCCCTCAGCCAGGACCTGGGGCCTCCCTCTGAGAGGGCCCCTCCTCTGGATGGTGACCATTACCCTGAAAGGGGCCCTGCCTGCAGTAGCAGGTGGCCTTTGCCTCTCTCATACTCATACTCCCCAGCAGGTAAGCCCTGACTCCAGATACAGGACCCCTCTCCACGTACCCCACTCCGTCTTGACATCTCCCTTGTATCGGGGAGCCCTCAATGCAGAGTTTTCTCCCAATAGAGACGCTTTGGTTTTCTCTGGACCTGAAATTCCATTTTAGCAGCCCCTAACTATGGATGTATGAGAGACAACCGTCGTGGAGGGAGCTAGATTATCCTCCAGAAGCCCCCAGCCAGGACTCCCTCCCCTCCAATCTCAAAACTGGCTCTAGCAAAACCCCTTCTGCTTTCCAAACCAGGGTCTCCCCATGGGGGCCTCTTTGAACCTGAGAACCCCTAGTTGAGACTCATCACTCTCAGCAAAAGCCCCAGAACCACCTGGACCTTCTATCAGGGACACCAGTGCCCTCCACACACCCTATCATTGAGAGCAGAATCCCCACCACACACACACACACACACACACACACACACACACACACGCCATCACACGATTCCAGCCCAGGAACTCTGCTCTCTGCACCTGCTACCCCTGCTCAACCTGGATTTCCCAAGAAAGGGAATCTCCTAGGCTCTAGGAAACACTCCAATCTCTAGACCCGCAGCTGGGAACTCCCTGTTTAACACTGCCACAGCCTGATTTGGACCAAGGATACTCCAGGCCCCCTGTACCCCCAGAGCCCTCCCCAGTGTCCAGTCAAAACCATTACCACTTTCCACCCTTGGACCCGAGACATCCACCCTGTCCCATCGTCCCCTTAGCATTGTCTACGCTCATCATGTCCTCTCAGACATCCTCAGGCTCATAATCCCCCTCTGCCTGAGGAATCTCCTCCCAGTCCCATTTGTAATCCAGAAAATGCCTCCACTGAGGCCTGTCACCTTTCCTCTGGATCCAGGATCCTTTTCAAACCAGAAACCAACCTCCTCAGGTAGGACCAACCCCCTCCCCCAGCCCTGCCCGGGACATCCCTTCCCACCTCAGCACTTGCAGACCTGGGAAATCCCTGTTGTCAAGGCTCTGCTGGTCCTTTCACATCCTCTCCCCAAAACTCCCTCTTCCTCTCTCTGCTTGGAATTTGGCCTGGGGGTGAGGAGAGATGGGGGCTGGGGCAGGCCTAGCAGACTCCTAACTCCTGCTCCCTGCCTGCAGTAGCAGGTGGCCTTTGCCTTTGGTGCCCCATTGTGTGGACCAGCAAACCAAGTCCATTGTTAGCAGAGCTGGATGCTCCTCTTATACTCTGTTCCGCTGGCTGGGCCTGCCTGACCTGCTCCTGCGCTTCACTGGGTCACATGAGTGTCTCCATCAACCTCCTCCCAGATCCTGGCTTCTGAGAAGTTGTCCCAAGAGGACAGATGAAGAAGCCAAACTCAAGGCATGCACAGCCTGGGTTCGGATTTCTGCTCAGCCCGCTGCTCAACTCTAGGCCTCAGTGTCCTCCCACATCTGTAAAATGGGAATAGTAACACTCCCTACTTCACAGTAATAATAAAACCTGGTAGAAGAGTTGCCACGTATGGGCTTTAACTCAATCAGCACAACAGCCTTGTAAAGCTGGTACCATTAGTGGCCCTATTTTTTAAAATAAATACACTGTATTTTTATTGATTTCAGGGAGAGGGAGAGAAAGACATCAATGATGGAGAGAATCACCAACTGGCTACCTCCCACACAGTCCCTTGGTGGGGGTCTGAGCCTGCAACCCAGGCACCTGCCCCAACTGGAATTGAACCCTGACCTCCTGATTTATGAGTAGACCCTCAATCACTGAGCCACATGGGCCGGGTCTGGCCCTATTTTTTTAGCAATAGAAACTGAGGCCCAGAGAAATTGGACAACTTGTCCAAGGTCACACAACTAGGAAGGTGTAGAGTAGAAATTTGAACCAAGGCGATCAGGCCTTAGAGTCCCATGCTCTTAACCAATACACTGCACTACCTCTGAAGCCTGCATGAAGAGGAGTGACGTGTGTATACTGAAATGAAAAATTACTCAGGTACTTGTTAAAAATGGTAAGTTGTTGCAATAAGGGAGCGAGACTGAACTCAATTCTGAATATAACAAAGACAGCTGGAGATAGAGAGCAGAGTGAGGGGATCAGTGGACGGGAAATTATTAAGAGAGAGGGGATTCTTATTTACTGGCTTAATGGGATTGTTGCAAAAGGCCAAGACCTCAGCTCTCAAAGGTGGAAAATAAGGAATGTGATCAGATATCAAGAGTGGAGGAATTCTCCCTAAACTGACAGCATTCTTGCTAAAACGGCCTAGTCAAGAGGAGCCTAACTAAAGTTTGGTCAGGAGGAAGTCTTTGTAAGTTTGAAGGGTTGGGGATAATAACAGGTTTTCTGTGCCTCAGTTTTCATTGTTATTGGTGGGAAAGCCTGGAGCTCTGAATGTGTCTGAGAAATGAAAAGCCAAAAGTCTTTCAGAGAGACTTCTTCCACGGCACCTCTGGTCTTGTCAGGCCCGAGCCCTCTGAGAAAGGCCTTGGGCCTGGAATTGATTCAGGCAGACTTGCTCCAGTTGAGGCCAGAGATGGTGGGATCAGCATCCCGGAAGTGAGCATGACTGCCATGGTAACTCTTTTTATGTCTTGCTAGATGCTATGCAATCCACCCTGGAAGGGTTATTACTATTGCATTTGAAGAAGACATTTTTTTATGAGCCCATTTTGCAGGACTCTGAGGAAAGTCATTGGGTCAAGGTCATGTAGGGAATAAATGGCAAAAAACTGATTTGAACTTTGCTCTTTGAGGTAGCAAGTTGAGACTCAGATTATTTGCATACCTGCCATTTCAGCTGACTGCTGGAGTTTCTCCATTAAAACCTTTGTATTAGTGAGGGTTGAAGCCATAAATGAAAAGCCTCAAATAATAGCTGCGTAAATAAGATGGAAATCTATTTCTGGAATGATGCTGCATGGTCAGAGCGCCTCCATAACTCTCGGTGCAGGGTTTCCATCCCGAGGTCACGTCATGGTCCAAGGTGGCTGCTCAGCTCCTGCCTTTCTGTTTGTATTTCAGCCAGCGGGAAGAAAGAAGAAAGAAGGGGATAGGCATCTCCCTTTCTTTTATGGCTCTGTGTGTGTGTGTGTGTGTGTGTGTGTTTTCTTTGTTGTTGTTAATCCTCACCCTAGGCAGAGGGAGGGAAAGAGCCAGAGAGAGAGAAACATTGACTGATTGCCTCCTGCACATGCGCCCTTGGCCAGAATCAAGCCTGAAACCCTTCAGTCCACAGCTGACACTCTAACCACTAAGCAACCGGCTAGGGTGGCGCCACCCTCTCTTTAAGGACACTTATTGGAACTTGTTTGCTTCTTTCATGTATGCCTCATTGGTCAGAAATTATTCTAATTACACCTAGCTGCATCTTATTTGCGCAATTATTATTTGAGGTTTTTTCTTTATGGCTCCAACCCTCATTAATACAAAGGTTTTAATGGAGAAACCCCATTAAAGAGGGAATGTCTTTATTCCAGGTGGCCATGTGTATAGCGAAAGCCAGAGCCTTTTTCCCCCCCAATTTTTTATTATGGTAAAATACACATAAAATTTACCATTTTTAATTGTACACTTCAGGGATATTAGGTACATTTACATTGTTGTGCAATCGTTACCACCATTCATCTCTAGAACAATTTTCATCTTGCAAAACTGAAACTCTACCCTTAAACACCAACTCCCCATGTGCCCTCTCCCCAGCTCCTGTCAACCACTGTTCTACTTGTGTCTCTGTGATTTTGACTCCTCTAAATACTTCATATAAGTGGAATCATACAGTATTTGTCTTTCTTCGACTAGCTTTTCTCATTTAGCATAATGTCCTCAAGGTTCATCCATGTTGTAGCATGTTCCTTCATAAGGCTGAATAATACTCCATTGTATATATTTACATTTTGTTTACCCATTCATCCATCGATGGACACTTGGCTGTGAAGAATGCTGCTATGAGCATGGGTGTACAGGAATCTCTTCCAGCCCTTACTCTCAATTTTTTGAGTATATAAAAAATCAGATCCCTTTGTATGGGAGATGTGTTCATCTGCATGATTCCACATGTTATTTTTGATCAGGGGGATGGATCTGCAGTCTTTTGGGCTAAAAACATTTGACCTCAACATTAACCAGGCCCCTTATCACCCCCATCATATCTCTGACCTTTTGGGTTGATTTATTTGGGAAATAAAGATATTTTAAATTATACATTAAAACAGTGAGCCAGTCTCACTTACACCTGAATCCCCCTGTATCATGTTACAGTTTGCAGAACTCACACCAATGGTCCTGTGGTCCTGTGTTCTCACGGCCCTCCAGGAAGTCACTGGGGCTTGTCACACCCATTTTAGAGTACAGGGGGCCAGACTTGAGGCTGCACCCTTCATTTATTATTTTGACTATTGACTGAGTGCCCACTCTGTGCCTGATACCAGCACTATAGCATTGAACAAAGCAAACAGAAGCCCCTGTCCTCCTGAGATGGCACCCGAATGGGGGAGACAGAGAGTAGCCAAATAAGTAAATCATATAGTTTGTTAGACAGTGTTAAGTGCTATGAAAACAAACCAAAAAAGTTGGGTGAGAAGCTGTAAAAATTTAAAATAAGGTGGTCAGACCTAGTTGGTTTGACTCAGTGGATAGAGCCCACAGATTGAAGGGTTCCATTCCCATCAAGGGCAGGTTGCCGGTTCCACCAGCCCCAGCAGGGGCACACATTCAGGAGGCAACCAATGGATGTGTCTCTTTCACATAGATGGCTCTCTCTCTCTGTATCTCTCCCCCTCCCTTCCACTCTCTCTAAATAAATCAATGGAAAAATATCCTCAGGTGAGGATTACAACAACAAAATAAAGGGTGTCAGGGAAGGCCTCATGAGAAGGTGATGTCTGAACAAAGACCTGGAGAAGAAGGGAGCCCTGTGGAAACCTGAAGGAATGTATTCCATAGGGAAAGAACAGATAGTGCAAAGGCCCTGAGGTGGGAGTGTATTTCCCTGCTGGATTGTGTGGGTCCTCAGGATCATGATGAGGACTTTGTCCTTCCTCCTGAGTGGGATGGAGCCACCAGGGGGCTCTGAGCAGGGGAGGGACATGACTTAACACTGGTGTTCACAGTGCCCCTCGGGCTGCGTGGGGGATACAGACTGTGAAGGCAAGGGTGGAGGTGGAGGAGGGAGGCCAGGGAGGAGACTACGGGGTAGACATGAAGGTGGGGTGGTGTGAAGTGGATGGACTTGGGGTCTACTTGAAATTTGAGACAATGGGATTCACTGACAGAAAGTGGTTGTGAGTGATAAGGAAGTCAAGGGTGACCAGAAATGAAAGAATGGGGGGCAAGTTCAAGGGTAACATTAGGTCTTGGCTTAGGATGGCCACAGACCCCAAGTAGGTGCCAAGTGGGCAGAAGGATTTCCCTGTTACTTCCACAGGCTATGGGTACACAACACCGCTGACTGATGCGGGCAAGGCCTTTTCCATTGTCTTTGCGCTCCTGGGCGTGCCGGCCACCATGTTGCTGCTGACTGCCTCAGCCCAGCGCCTGTCACTGCTGCTGACCCATGCACCCTTGTCCTGGCTGAGCATGCGCTGGGGCTGGGACTCCCGGCGGTTGGCCCTCTGGCACCTGGTGGTTCTGCTGGGGATCATGGTGACCACCTGCTTCCTGGTGCCCGCCGCAATCTTTGCCCACCTTGAGGAGGCCTGGAGCTTCTTGGATGCCTTCTACTTCTGCTTCATCTCTTTGTCCACCATTGGCCTGGGTGACTATGTGCCTGGTGAAGCCCCCGGCCAGCCCTACCGGGCCCTCTACAAGGTGCTGGTCACAGGTGAGTAGGGTGGCTGGCTCAGGACCGAGGGCACAGCCTTGTCTTGGAGGGTACAAGGGGGAAGTTGAGGGTCACAGCCCCACCCTGGGCCTGCCAAGGTTCTGAGTTCATCCATGGCCCCTCTGCTGTCTTTGCAGCCTACCTCTTCCTGGGTCTGATTGCCATGGTTTTGGTGCTGCAGACTGTCCGGCATGTGTCTGACCTTTACGGCCTCACAGAGCTCATCCTGCTGCCCAGCCCACGCCCTGCCGGCTTCCATGAGGATGAGGATGATCGGGTGGACATTCTGAGTCCCCAGTCAGAACCACACCAGCAACTCACCACCAGCTCCCACACCAACTACGCCTCCATCCCCAGGTAGCTGGGGCAGGCACCTTGAGACTGGATGGACCTAGCCTGCGGCTGAGGGACCATGTGACTGGAACTGACATACGACCCTCGTGGGCACATGCCAGTGCTCATGAGAGCACTGCCACCAGCTGTCCATCCTTTGTCGTACCTGTCCTGGGCTCCCCAAGCACCTGCATTGCTTTGTTCTGGCTCCTTCTCTCATCTCCCCCTCATTCAGTGCTTCTTTGGCTTTCTCACCGTCTCTGTCTTTCCCTCTCAACGTCTCTTTTTTTCTTACTCTTTTATTCCATCTGCTTCTCTCAGCAACTCAACATCTACAGTTCTACCAGGCTCTGGGCTCAGGTATCATTTCAGGCACTAGATCAGTCACTTCACCCTGGGCAAGTGACAGTCCGTTCTGAGCCTTCATTTTCTTATCTGTCCATTGGAAAGAACACAGGATGGGGCAAAAGTAGGTTTACAGTTGTTCATATGGAAAATGATACAATGATCAATAAATAATACTAGAATAAACTGTTTCGTGTACTCACAACTGTAAACTTACTTTTGCCCCACCTGTATATTAATTCATCCCAAACTCTTCTATGTTGGGCATTGTTAGTGATGTAGCTGGGCCCTGTTCTCCTGGGGCTCATAGTCTAGTAACTTAGACGTCCCCACACAGTGAGCCCAGAACTGGCAGGTCTTTAATAGCAGACGCAGAGTGGTCAGTGGTGTGATGGAGAAAACATGGAATGCACCCAATATAACTTGGAAGGTCAGGGAGAACTTCCTGGAGGAAGGGACAACTGAACTCACTCCTGAAATATGAGTAGCAGTCAAGGGAAGAAGGTGTAACTGATTTTCCTCAGGTGTCTCCAGGGAGCAAGACCCATGCAGAGAGCCCTGGGGTAGGCCTGGGTCCTAGAGTCTTCCTCAGCAGGAAACAGGATCCCAGTCTGGATCCGAATGGCACAGAAGGCACTGTTCTTAGCCACAGCACTACCGTAACAACTGTTCCCATTTGTGGAGCACTAAGTGCATATTCTGTGAGCTTTGGAGCCAGCCTGCTTGGGTTCAAATCCCAACTCAGTTGCATACTGCCCATCTCCTCGGGCAGCCACTTCCCCTGTGATTCTCAGGTCCCTCATCTGTAAAATGGCAATAATAATAGTACTTCACAAGATGACTTCACAGAACCTTCCATGTTATTCTGTGATGCTTTGACCAGGCCCTGTTCTGGGTAATTTGCATGAGAAAATACAATATTATCCTCTCTCCACAGTTGAGGAAACTGAGGCATAGGAGGGACGTTCCTTGTTTTAGACACAGAACTAGGAAGCAATAGATTTCCTGTCTGTCCCCGCCCCCCGCCCAATGATACATCAGCAATAGCACTTACACCAAAGGTCCATCTACTGAGCCGTTACCTCTCCCAAACCCTATGAAGGTGACAAGGGATGTGCATCTGAGCCAGGCCTTAATAGACAAATGGGAAGGGCAATTCCAGACAGAAGGAACCATGTATGCAAAGGCCTGGAGGTAGGAAAGCATGTTAGCCATCAGCTTCTGTGACTAGTGTGGAGTGAATGGGGAAGGATAGTGGTGTAGTTGACATGGGCCCCTCTTAAGTGTCTTTAAATGATCAGCTTGGGAAACAGCTTTTTTCTTGAGGACACTAGAGAATCACAGCAGGGTTTCTACCAGAACAGGGTCATAGTTGGGTTTGTGCCTTAGGAAATCCCCCAGCTTTTCTGTGGATGTAGATGAGAGGGGGAGACAAAGGCTGGGTGCCCAGGGAAGGCTATGGCAGGAACAAAGCAGAAAATCATGGCGCTGGACAGAGCCCACAGGAGCGGGTACAGGTGGAAGGATGCTCAGAAGACCAAGTGGACAGGCCATAGGCCTTATAGATTTGGGGTAGGGAACAAGGCCATGGAAAGGTGCAAGGGATGGTCAACTGCCATCAAGATTGGAGCCTTGGAGAAAGAACAGGTTTGAGGGAAGATGCTGAGGCTAGTTTGGAACATGGTGAGTGTGAGGGGCTAAAGACACTCAGAGGAAGATATCAGGAGGCCACAGAGCCCCCAGGGCTGAGGCTCAGAGTAGTTGAGGCTGGAGACAGATGCAGGAACCAAGGCCATGAGGTAGGAGTGAAGAGAAGACCAGCCTTGAGAAATCAGCCTAAGGATATTTATATTTTGTATCAGTAAGGAAAGATTTGGGCAGCAGGTAACAAAATCCAGAATGGCACGAGGTGAAACAATGAGATGAGTGAATATTGCACATCACCAGAGTTGGGGAGAGCTCTAGGCATGATACAGTGAAAGCTCCAGGAGGGTCTTGGGCCCCAGGTTCCCACTCTGCTCTTCCACCCTCAGCTGAATGTTTGGCTTCCACATGGACTCCCCTTATGGCCCCAAAGTGGCTGCTGCAGGCCCAGGCATCACAAGGAGATGTGGTAATTTTTAGTACAAGAAGAGAGTGGCATCTTTTTCCATGCTGTCTCTGGAATCAAGAAAATCCTTTCCTGAAGCCTCCCAGCAGACTTCCTCTTCCATCTCACTGGCCAAAATTGCCTCACATGCCCATCTTGAGCCAATCATTGGCTTGAGGAATTCAGGATTAGCTTAGATTCTTCAGGACTCCCCCTGTTCCCCAGAACTGAGGCTGGGGGTGAGGTTTCAGCTTGGAGGCTGGTGAATACTTGAATGAAATTGGGCTTCTATTAGAAAGGCCGGAGAGTGGGAAGATGGGTGGATATTGATTAACAAATCAGCCAAGGCCATCATGTATAATTATGCAGGTTGGGACTTACATAAGGGATGCCTGACTAGCAGGGTGGACACAAATAGGGTCTGAAGTTCAAGGCTAAATATGCCAAAAGGAGGCTTCTTTTTCTAAGTAAAGGCCCCATATTGGTAAGAGAATGAGAGTATTTTAGGAAGGAAGAAGTCAACATTGTCAAATCATGCTAAAAAGGCACACAAGATTGTTTTAATAATAGTAATAGAAAACACATATAGGATTTACTATGAGCTAGGCACTGCTCCAAGCCCTTGATACATAATTTACTTACCCCTCTTATCAACTGTTAGGTACATTCTCACCACATTTTATAGTTGAGGAAAGGAGGCCCAGAGAGATCAAATAATTTGTCCAAGGTCACACAGGAAGTGGCAAATGGATTTGAGCAAGGTTTTGATTGGTCACCTTGTCCCATGGGAGTTCAGAAACACCTACTGTCAAGCTCTTCCTCAGCCTCGCAGTCTTCTGTCTCCTCACCATGCTAAAGTCAGCAGCTGGGGGGGAGGCAGTTGTTTCTCCCCTTCTTGAAAAAGAAACCAGACCTTGTTCAGTTGAAGACATTTTTAAAAAGGTGCATGCCGCCCTACCTGGTTTGGCTCAGTGGATAGAGCTTCAACCTGAGGACTGAAGGGTCCTGGGTTCAATTCTAATCAAGGGCACATGCCCAGGTTGTAGGCTCGACTCCCAGCAGGCAATGGTTCTCAACCTTCCTAATGCCGCGACCCTTTAATACAGTTCCTCATGTTGTGGTGACCCCCCCAACATAAAATTATTTTTGTTGCTACTTCATAACTGTCATTTTGCTACTGTTATGAATCGTAATGTAAATATCTGATATGCAGGATGTATTTTCATTGTTAAAATTGAACATAATTAAAGCATAGTAATTAATCACAAAAACAATATGTAATTATATATGTGTTTTCCGATGGTCTTAGGCGATCCCTGTGAAAGGGTCATTCCACCCCCAAAGGGTCACGACCCACAGGTTGAGAATCGCTGCAGTAGGGGTTGTGCAGGAGGCAGCCGATCAATGATTCTTTCTTATCATTGATATTTCTATCCCTCTTCCCCCTCTCCCTTCCCCTCTGAAATCAACAAAAAAATATTTTTAAAGAAGGTGCATGCTAAAAATTCAAAAGGCACAAAAGAGTATACAGTGGAAAGTCAATCTTTCTCCAGCACTCAGGCTGTGTTGACTGAGTTCTCAGACAAATACGAGCAATATACATGTGTGTCAGTGTCTTTCACTCTACACAAATGGTACCTGGTGTGACGAGGAGGTTACCATTACAGATTCTAGAGGCAGAGTCCCTGGATAGAAATCAGAACTCTACCACTCCCAATCAGGGCAGGTGATTTCGCCTCCCTGTGCCTGAGTTTGCCAATCTGTGAAATGGGAGGATAATGGCACCTACCTCATGGGCTTGTTAGAGAATTAAGCAATTTAATATCTGTAAAGCTCTTAGAACAGTGTCTGGTATTCATTAAAATGTCAGCTAATCATTATTATCATTTCTGCACTTTGTTTTTTTTTTTATATGTTATGTATAATTTTATATACTTTTTCTAATATTCTCATTTCTGCACCTTGATTTTTTTTTCACCAACTCAGTGTAATTCATAGGTCATCCCAGAGACACACAAGTAGGTCTTAAATCCTTTCTAATTTCTGCAGTGCCTCCTCTAGGACACACATCCCATAAATTATTCCAACATCTCCTTAATGGACATGTGGGTGGTTGGCAGTTTCTGGCATAAAGGATGTTGCAGGATGTACCTTTGTATCAAGGTCTAACAGAGGCACCCCTCATGGGGCTGTATTTCTGAGCTGGGGTACCATGAGAAGATACCAGTCTCTCCGATTCTGCTCAGGAATCTAGAAGGGCTCAGGTACACAGCTGCTGAGTTTTCTCTCTCAGATGAAGTCATTCTTCCCTGGCCTGTGGGTGGGCTAGGGGCAGGAGCCTACACATCCATCAACTGTTCATTTACCTAGAACACCTATTCTGTGTTGGACAGAGTTGGGAACAACAGTGACAGAAAGCCCTAGGCCCTGTCATACTAAAGTCTGTGATTTTGCGGGAAACAAAGACCGGTTCCCAGATGGTCATGTTCTGGTGTGGTCAGGGGAGGGATAGGGACTGGCCATGTGTCACAAGACCCCAGGGAAGGAAAGTGTTCAGCCACCGACAAAGTAGAGAAAAGTGTTTCAGAAGGTGCTACAGCATGTGCAGTCTGGAGAGAGAACACGCCTCACCCAGGAATTCAAGTTGCTCTGTGTAAATAGGCTGTGGGCTACATATACCTTTAGGGAGAAAAGAGAAGAGCTGGATAGGAAGGCCAACAGGCAGGGTTCTGGAAACCAACTTTGGAGGTTTCCCCGAAGTCCCAGGGAGTCATGAAAGGTTTTAGAGCACCGGTTCCCAAGGTGTGTGGGCCCAAACCGTCAGTATCAGCGTCACCTGGGAGGGGGCGCACCAAAGTTTACCACCTGAAAATATGCCTTTGGAGATGCTGATTATTTCAAGCTGGTTATTTTTAACAAGAGATAGAGGACCTGCTCCTGATGGGAGCTATCGTCAGAGTTAACTACAATTCAATAGGAACCAGGTGTGATAGGAGGGGGGACCCTGGAAAGGCTTAATTGACCAGAGTCCTCTCTGTGTCCCATTGTTAAACAAGCTCAGCAAACATTTACTTACAGAACATCTGCTTTTCTATCT